GCGAGCTCGAGATCTTTCTGATTGACTGCTGCAGCTGCTGCCTGGCTTGGCTGGGCTTGACTTGACTTAGCTTGGCTTAAATGTAAACAAATAAATGCGACCATTTTTGAGCAATTAGTTTCATGGCAGACATCAAAGCGCAAGCTTTTTAAAAGGAATCCAAATTATTTGGGTAAACACTTTCTGAAGTCATAGAAACACTTTATTTATATATATATTTTTTTCCGAATTGTACTTTAAGAAAAATAAGCAAAGAATAGGGGAATCCATAGAAAAATATCATATTAAAGTTTTTGTCTGGATTTATATTCATGGGAAATTTAATTGTATAGAAAAAAATAAAATAAAATAAAATTAATAAATTCATATTAAACAAAATTTTTAAAGTATAAATTATAATTTAATTATAATTTCATGACAAACATGAAAGCTAAGAAATTTTGATTATAAAATTTCATACGATTGTTAAACCAGTGAAACTTCTATATTTGTATGAAATATACAATAAAATGTTGGAATTAAAAGTTAAAATGTTTCAATAATCTCAATAATAAGCAATATAAAATAGTAAATAAAATTTCAAAATAAAATGTTATGTGATGTACTTGTATATATGCATATATGTATGTATGTACATATATAACTCTAGCTGTTCTCTAAAATTGTATGCAGTTATGTGTGGCTCAATAAAATGTATACATATATAATATACAAGTGTGTATGTCTTTTGGCTGATAAAATAATTGTCAATTAACATTGATGTAAGAAGTAAATATTTTCCATATCAAGAACATTTTTTATAGACATTTCATGGGTTGTCAACAAGTTTCAAAGTGCCTGTATAAAGTCCCCAACTTCTATGCAACCTAATCTAAGTCTTGTTTAGATTTTTTTTATGATGGGCGAGGGTCACTAACGATTTGCAGTTCATTTCAGGGTTAAGCGAGGCTCAAGACTCAATTTTAATGCCCGGAAAGAGATGTACAACCAGTCGCTATAATTGCGGGTTGAAAGTAAACGTTGATTTGTAAATGGCTCAATCTGTGGATTGTGGGGTCAGGGAGGAGATCGGCAGGCGATGTCAATGGCAATTGGCCTCGGGCCAGAGAATGCCATAAAAAAAGAGAAGAGAAGAAGAGTAATAACGCATGGGATGCCCCCGGCTGCTCGGGCCACATTAATAGGACAAAAGCAAAGAATTTTGACGAGCAGCGCCTCAAGTTGAGCATCTTCATCAATTGATGATAAGATTTCACTTGTGTTCGCCTCGTCCAATTAAGCGTGTGCTGCAATAACTGTTAAATTACTCACTATTGGTTCTGCATATCCATGCCGCCGCCGCCGCCGCCTCCGCCGTTGGCGACTGCGCCTCCTGCTGCAGCTCCTGCTCCGCCAGCGCCCGCGCCTCCTGCGGCGCCAGAGTTGAGCATGGTGCCTCCGTAGCCGCCTAGGCTGCCCTGCATGCCCGGCATGCCTTTGGCGCCCACAATGATGCCCAAATTAGCCAGACCCGCCAGCTGATGTCCAAGTGCGTGTCCTTGTCCGGCGCCATGTCCCATGCCGTGTCCCATGCCGTGCGCCATGCCGTGACCCATGCCATGTCCCATGCCATGTCCCATGCCATGTCCCATGCCCATGCCCATCCCGATGCCATTGCCTGCTGCCGGCGCGCTCGCCGTGCTGCTGCCCAGGCCGGCCAGTCCGCCCAGCTGATTGATGGCCGCACCACCGGCGGGCAGCGGCATCGCAGCACCACCGGCGCCGCCCAATTGGCCAGCGCCCGCGCCGAGCAGCGTGTTGAGCAGCGTGCTGTTCGGGCTGGGCTTGCCTAAGAGTTGTTGCTGCTGCTGATGTTGCTGTTGCTGCTGCTGCTGGTTGCTGTTGATGTTGCTGCTGTGCAGCTGTTGTTGTTGCTGCTGCTGCTGCTGATGTTGCAGTTGCTGTTGATGTTGATGTTGCTGCTGCATGTTGACATTGCTCTCGATGCTTGGCAGCAACAGTTGCTGCTCCTGGCAGCGTCCCAGCCGGCCGAGTAGGTGCAGCAACAGCAGAAGGCTAAGAAATGTTGTATGCATATTGATGTTGTTGTTGTTCTTGTTGTTGTTGCTTGATATCAATAATGTATTGATGATGTTGTTGCTGTTGTTGTTATTTATCGTTTTGGTTGCGGTCTAAAGTCTACTTTTTGGCGTGTTTTTTGAATGCGTGTTGTCGTAAGTTAAGTACTTTGTAGTTAATAAATTACTAAATGCTAGTTACTACTTAATAAAAAATGTGGTTTATATTGAATTAATTATTTTAATTATATTTTAAATGCAAAAAATGTTTCCTTTGAGTGATGTATCAAAAAATTGATTTCAAATTTCTAGTTGGATTATATTTGATTTCGTCAGGGGGTCCCTATATTGAGATTATGTAACTTTGATAGATATATATATGTATGTTAATATATATTTATATATAAATGGGCATATGTGATCTGGTTTCCGATTGGATTTGTTTTTCCTGAACTCTTTTTCGTTTTTGGACTTCTTAATACTTTTCGTTTGATTTGCGCGCTTTGTTTTTCTTGGCTGGCTACATTTTGTTTTTTACAAACATTTTTTCTGTTTCAGTTCACCATTTGCATGATTCAAATCAAAAACACTTTTTTCTGGTTTTTCGATTTTCGATTTTCACGTGAGCACTTCAAACGGTTTTCGTTTATGCGTGTTTTCTTTATTTTCACATTATCAATTGTTGATTTATTTGGTTTAGAGCAGCGGCAGCCGCCGCCTCCTGGCCGATCCAGTTGGCTTCCTGGAAACGTTTAGAGCTGCGCTGCCGAGGGCGCAACATCAAAAGACCAACAATTCCAGACAGATCCACCGATCGGGCGCAACGAAACCCGTTTGAACAGACGACGCGCCGCGTCCGCCTCAATGCCTCACGCCGATCCATCCATCTAAACAGGCTTAAAGGTCTCTCTCGTTTATTTTGTTTTCAGCTTTTTTGTTTTCGTATATTTCTGAAGCCAGATAAAAAGGCGCCGACTGCGTCTTCAATGTAATGCGCGATTGGGGGCCGGCCGGCCGGCCACGTCTCCCAAAAAAATCAAACACGCGCGCGCTCTTGTTCCGGACTCGATCGCACGGAAGTTCAGTGTCCCGTGGTCAGATTGCAGCGGATATGATTGACTCGCTTGCCTCTGGCCGAGCGGTATTCGACTCACTTTCACGTCTCACGCTTCACGCTTACGCACGGATTCGCTTAGGTTTCCTGCTTGAACTGACTTGGACTGTGTGCGGCACACACGTGCGTTCCACAGCTCGTTCGGCACTCGACTGACGACTGGCTCGACTGGCGACGACTGCGACTAGCTGACGGCTGGCGGCTGCTTCGTGTGCTCTCGTCTCGTGTATCTTTTGGATTCACCAGCGTCGTCGTTGCCCGCCTCTGATAGGCACATATAAACTGCGCTTGTTGTTGCTGTCGCAGTCGCTGCTGCTGTTGCTGCTGCTGCTGCTGCGACTGATGCTGCTGGCGTTGTTGTTGCGCATGGTGAGGAAACTCGCTGCTGCGCAGCTAGAGCCAGTGGTAGCTGTCAGCACCGTGTGTGCCCCGCAAGAGATACAATTGTATCTGCCGGCAGTGGGCTCGTTCGTTAATAATCGCACGACAACTTGTCAATGCAGCTGCGCTTTGACTAACCAACTAATCGTTGTTAATCAGCGCTCATGTTAAGCCCAAGCTGTTAACTCTCTGCAGCTAACATAACACGCTCAACGCCAGCCAGCCAGAGGTGCGCACTCCACTGATTGCAATTTGTTGATACAACAATATTGGGCTCTGGCTGGGTGGTCCGGCATTCCATGGCAAACTGAGCGCCGAGCAATGCAGTCTCAAATGCAACTGCCTCGAATTGCATGCCATTTGCCGTTGAGCTTTGGGTGCGAGTGAAGATTGTTTTAGTTTATGCAATATAAACATTGGCGTTTAATTTAAAATTTAATGCGTTGGTATATTTATTTTATATTATTATGGCAGAGTTTTTCATATGGAAATAAAAGACTTAAATAAATTCTAAAATCATTCATTCATTTACATTCTCATTATGAATTCTTATTAGACTCGATTAGTTCGTTTTAAAAGACTTCAGGCATTTGAGTTGATTTATCAAATTACTAATATTTATTTATTGACTTTACGTATTTGTCAGGTTTTTTTCTCCAAATAATATGTTTGTATTATTTTTGTTTCAGTTAATAAGTGTTATATCATTTACAGAATGATATTAGAAATGTTATTAGAAATTAGACAAGGAAGGGCCTGTAAACATCTTAGATAATAAAAGAACAATATATTATTATGAATATTCATATTTTTATTTACATTGTTGATATGCAGTTAGTCTTTGTCTTATCTTAGTCTTTATTGATGCAAAATCTAGAATCTTTTATTTTTTGTATATATTTTTAAGGTTTGTGTCTTTGCTTACACATTGCGTATGACTAGGAGATTTATTTTTAAATTGTAAGATCAAAATAAAATATTTTAAAAATATTGTTTGTAAATTAAAGTAAATTAATACTCTACATATTTTACAGAGTAAATTCTGTTAATTGTGCAGTTAACAGTTTTAGCGTAATTATAAATATGTATAACGCTGATTATTGTAATATATTGTAATTTAATGAAATGAAATAATATTCATTCATATGTATATATTTTATATATGTAATAGGTAATTTCTAAAGCTGAAGTATATTATAATATAATAATATCTAAAATATAATTCACATCCATGAGCTGCCTAAGCGTCTATCATACGAATTATATTGTGTATTTCTGTTGATTAATTATAATTGATATAATTTTTACATATATAATATTTTTTGCTCAATACAGATTACTTAATTATATGTATTTGAGCTGCTTCAACTTTTCGTGCATTCCCAAAGAATTCACACTATGATCGATCATCTATGGCGCATTGCTTATCAATTGGTAATCTTCAGGGAACAAAAAACAAGATTTTGATTTTTAATTTATTTATTTTATTGCGCAGCTAATTGACCGAAAATATTTGTAATTCGTATCTGCTGGTGTGATTCCATCTGAGCTACTGCACAACCCCTGTGCGTGGCACTGGGATGCATCTGTTTATCTATAGATAAACGCATAGTTTTCTGCTTATGTGTGTGTGTGTGTGTGTGTGTTGATTGTTGTTGTTTGCTTGGCTCATCCATGCGTCCATCCATCCATCAGTCAGCCAATCTGTTGGTTACACACTTTTCTCCTTAGGCAAACCCATATCCATCCGACGACTCAGCGACTGCATTTCCACTTGTTGTTGTCTAAAAACTTGAGCTGTTTGCTGTTTACCTTCTTTCTCCTGTCCGTCTGCTGCGTCAACACATTCCCAAAAGGGCAAGGCACTCCGCACCGCACTGCACCGCTGCACCGCTGCACCACTGAGCCACCAGACACCGATTGCCGGCTAGCCTGGTATCTCCATGACGTTTTATGGGCCTGCAAATGAGGCAAAAATTGCAGTTACAACTTTTGACCCAAAACCGTAAACGACACGAAATGCTGTCTCGCTGTCTCGCTGTTTCGCTGTCCCGCTCTCCGCAGTTCCATTCAATATTTGCTCAAGGTAATTACAAAAACAACAAGAAATAATATACATTGCTGGTCGTCGGCGTTGTCGATCATTCGGCTTGTTTATTTGTCCAAACATTTGTCAATTTCATTGAGCTCTGACCAGGCACATTTCCTCATGGGGGCGATCGCCAGAGCGAGAGCTCAGAGCGCAGAGTCGGCACACGCTTTGATCGACATCGACATGGACAGCGACGGTGACGGCGACGGCGACGGCGACTTTGGCTTCAGTTTCGGCTCAATTTAGATTCACTTTAACGTTGATATCATATGGCACTCAGATACATGCAGCACAATACACGCCATGATTGTGCGTTCTTTGGCGTTTATCTAATTTACTTTTACTTACAGCGCCAACTACACGGATATGACGACTGCTGGGCGCCCGCTTGCCAGCTGATAAAAAAGACACACGTATATATGTATATATGTATATCTGCAGATGGGCAGGGGGCATGGGAATGCGACTCTAACTGCTAATGCCACACGGCTTTGCTCTGCTTTTATTGGCTTGACAATGGGCTCGTGTCTCTATCTCTATCTATTTGTCTTGCCCTCTTTTATAGCGCTCTCTCTCTCTCTCGTTCTCTGTGTAGTGCAAAGGTAAATTGTGAATGTTCTTCAAGTAGTTTGAGACGCCGTCGCTGAGCTGTGCCCAGCGGGCATACAATGAGTCTCCATAATGATTTTCAATGAGCTGAAAGTCTGCACAGCTAATAGACAAATGACGCATTCAGTTGAGTTCGTCATAAATGGCAATAAGTACCCAGAACTTGGCTCTCTAAGCGCCTCAAGCCGTTGGAAGCAGCAGCAGTCGTTGTTACCTTTCTTTATCTCAAATCAATGAATATTTATACTCAGCTTGAAGAAATCTTTCTGATTAAATTATTTATTACTTGTTATTATATCTTTGCAAACATTTCATTATTAAGTACTTACGAACTCAAGCTGGACGATTTTAACAAAATTTAAGTACAGCTTCTCCATTTCAAATAATAAATAAAGATACAAAATTATAATAATAAAAATTACACAAAATAAAAAAATAAGAATAAATACATTTATAATAAAATTTAAATTAATTACGAATCAACTTAACAAATTCATTTTTAGTATA